CAATCCCAGGACAATCCCAGGGGGTCCCAGGGGGTCCCAGGACAATCCCAGGACAATCCCAGGGGGATTCCAGGACAATCCCGGGACAATCCCAGGACAATCCCAGGGGGTCCCAGGACAATCCCAGGCCAATCCCAGCGGATCCCAGGGGGTCCCGGGACAATCCCAGGACAATCCCAGGCCAATCCCAGGACAATCCCAGGGGGTCCCAGGGGGTCCCAGGACAATCCCAGGACAATCCCAGGACAATCCCAGGACAATCCCAGGCGGTCCCAGGGGGTCCCAGGGGGTCCCGGGGGGTCCCAGCCCCTGCCCACCCCGTCCTCGAAGCTCCAGCGTTTGCTGACTTCGGCCTCGTTCTGGGCGTGGATTTGCTGCCTCATGGAGATCACCAGCTCCCGGATCTTCTCCTGCTCCAGCTCCTCCTGGGATAATCACCACTGACCATTAATAACCGCTAATTAATAACTAATAAATAAAACGATTTGTTACTGGTGTAAATAAACTGAAAAAAATTACAATAATAAAATGAAGCCGTAAATAAAACCGAATAATGAGAAATAAATGAATATAAATGATTTATGTATCAATAAACCCAGTGAAAGAAAAATCCAATTAAAGTAAATCCAATTAAAATAAACCCAATTAAAACCAATCCAATTAAAACCAATCCAATTAAAACAAAGAAATGGTAAAAGCCCCAAGCTGAACACAAGCCAATAAATACAAAACACAGATTTAAAATCCAAGGAAATGGATTGAAATAAAACACCAACAAATGAATAAATTATTAGCATAATTAATGAGGGGTTTAACCCTTTAAAGCCACAGGGAAAGCAGAATTCCAATTTTTTTGACATTATCCCGGTTTTTAACCCCTTTTGATCCACGAAAAAAAGCAGAATTCCCATTTTCTTGGGAATATCTCAGTTTTTAACCCTCCCAAAGCTGCAGGAAAAGGAAAATTCCCATTTTTTTGACAATATCCCGGTTTTTAACCCCTTTTAAGCCACAAGAAAAGCACAATTCCCTTTTTTTTTTTTACAATATCCCAGTTTTTAACCCTTTCAGTCCCCAAGAAAAGCACAATTCCCGTTCCTTGTCCCACTATCCCGGTTTTTAACCCTTTCAGTCCCCAGTAAAAGCACAATTCCCGTTTCTTTTCCCACTACCCCGGATTTTAACCCTTTCAGTCCCCATAAATACAAAACATAGATTTAAAATCCAAGGAAATGGATTGAAATAAAACACCAACAAATGAATAAATGAATGCATTAGCATAATTAATGAGGCTTTTAACCCTTTAAAGCCACAGGGAAAGCAGAATTCCCTTTCTTTTTGGGAATATCTCAGGTTTTAACCCCTGTTAAGCCACAAGGAAAGCAGAATTCCCATTTTTTTGGACAATATCCCAGTTTTAACCCCTTTTAATCCACAAAAAAAGCAGAATTCCAATTTTTTAATAATATTCCAGTTTTTAACCCCTTTTAACCCCTTTCAGTCCACAGTAAAAGCACAATTCCCGTTCCTTTTCCCACTATCCCGGATTTTAACCCTTTCAGTCCCCAAGAAAAGCCCAATTCCCATTTCCTGTCCCACTACCCCGGATTTTAACCCTTTCA